GTCCTTTTGTTGCTTTGCAGTCTTTCCCATCACTTACATAACCAATTCCCTGCATTCTGTTCCTCTTCTCAAGTACTCTGAGTGGATTCTGTTTTCCTGGTTGGACTCTGATGGCTCAGTATAGTCCAAAGCTACATACTAAGCATGGGATTTCAGGGACGCAGGAAGAGAAGCCAGCATTTATGGAGTGACTTCAGTGTGTTAGGTACTTTTCCTTGTGAGATATTTAATCCTTATCAGGTAGTGGAGTGGTGCCCACTACATACTTTGTAGATGAGAAATCAAGAGATGCAAGGACGTGTAACTCATCTGGGGCTCCTAAGTAACAGAGCTGAGATTCAAACCTAGTTTAAAGGTTTATATCCTTTAAACATCTGGAGGGTCTCCACATTGTAGGTACACTCCTATCAAAGTACAGGAATTTATTTTATTTTTTTCCCAGTGAGAGATGCTTTTTATTTTCAGAGAGGTAACTGGCCATTGGTAGTTTCCTTCTTCCTCCTCCTCTATCTCCCCCCTTTCTCATTTTCCTTCTCCTTTCTTTCTTTGTTTTGATGAAATTCACATAACATAAAATTAATCATTTAAAGTGAACAATCAGTGGCATTTAGTACATTTTCAGTATTGTGCAACCACACTGTCTAGTTCCAAAGCATTCCCATCATTCCAAAATAAAACCCCTTATCCATTTGTTTCTCCCTACTATCTCCTCTTCTAGCCCCTGGCACACATCCGTTTGAATTCTGTTTCTGTGGAGTTACCTATTCTGGATAGTTCTTATAAATAGAATTATACAGTATGTATCCTTTTTCAATTTTTATTATTTATTTTTGACTTTCTTTTTCTTTAATTAAAAAGATTCTATTGGAGTATAGTCGCTTTACAAAGTTGTGTTAGTTTCTGCCATACAGCACAGTGAGTCAGCTGTCCGTGTACATACACCCCCTCTCTTCTGATGCTCCTTCCCATTTAGGTCACCACAGAACGCTGAGCGGGGTGCCCTGTGCGGTACAGCCGGTTCTCACTAGTTACCTGTTTTATACATAGTATTGTATGAATGCCAATCCCAGTCTCCTACTCCATCCCACTTCTCCTTCCCCCTTCTAGAGCCATAGGTTCTCTACGTCTGTGTGTCTATTTATGCTTTGCAAATAAGTTCATCTGTACCATTTTTCTATATTTCACATATGTGTGTTAATATACTATATTTGTTTTTCTCTTTTTGACTTACTTCACTTTGTATGACAGTCTCTAGGTCCATCCACATCTCTGCAAATGGCACGATTTCATTTTTTATGGCTGAGATTCAAGGGATTAGATCTGGTGAACAGAGTGACTGAAGAACCATGGACAGAGGTTCATAACATGGTAAAGGAGGCGGTGACCAAAATCTTCCCAAAGACAATGAAATGCAAGAAGGAAAAGTGGTTATCTGAGAACGCTTTACAGATAGCTGAAAAAAGAAGAAAAGCAAAAGGCAAGGGAGAAAGGGAAAGATATACCCAAATGAATGCAAGAGAATAGCAAGAAGAGATAAGAAGACCTGTGAATGATGCAAAGAAATAGAGGAAAACAATAGAATGGGAAAGACTAGATTTCTCTTCAAGAAAATTGGAGATATCAAGGGAATATTTCATGTGAGGATGGGCACGATAAAGGACAGAAACGGTAAGGACTTAACAGAAGCCAAAGAGATTAAGAAGAGGTGGCAAGAATACAAAGAAGGACTGTATAAAAATAGGTATTAATGACTCAAATAACAATGATGGATGGATGGTCACTCACCTAGAGCCAGACATCTTGAAGTGTAAAGCCAAGTGGGCCTTAGGAAACATTATGATGAACAAGGCTAGTGGAGGTGGTAGAATTCCAGTTGAGCTATTTCAAGTCCTAATGGATGATGTTGTTAAAGTGCTGCACTCAATATGTTAGCAAATTTGGAAAACTTAGCAGTAGCCACAGGACTGAAAAAGGTCAATTTTCATTCCAATCTCAAAGAAAGGCAATGCCAAAGAATGTTCNGTTCAAGCAGTTACAAATTTTATTTTCTTGGGCTCCAAAATGAGTGCAGATGGTGACTGCAGCCATGAAATTAAAAGATGCTTGCTCCTTTGAAGAAAAGATATGACAAACCTAGTCAGCATATTACTAAGCAGAGACTTGACTGCCAACAGAGGTCCATATTGTCAAAGCTATGGTTTCTCCAGTAGTCATGTACAGACATAAGAGTTGGACCGTAAAGAAGGCCAAGTGCTGAAGAATTGATGCTTTTGATTTGTGGTGCTGGAGAAGATTCTTGAAAGTCCCTTGGACTGCAAGAAGATCAAACTGGTCAATCTTACAAGGAAATCAACCCTGAGTATTCCTTGGAAGGATTGATGCTGAGGCTGAAACTCCAATACTTTGGCCACCTGAAGCAAAGAGCCGACTCAGTAGAAAAGACCCCGATGCTGGACAAGATGGGGGCAGGAGAAGAGGGTAGCCGAGAATGAGATGGTTAGATAGTTATCACCGACTCAATAGATAGTGTTTGAGCAAACCGTGGGAGATCCTGAAGGAAAGGGAAACCTCACATGCTGCAGTTCATGGGTGCAGAGTTGGATACGACTTAGCAACTAAACAACAACAACAAAAGTATTCCCTTGTATATACATAGTACTTCTTTATCCATTCCTCCCTTGGTGGACATCTAGGTTGCTCCCATGTCCCGGCTATTGTATATAGTGCTGCAATAAACATTGGGGTGCATGTGTCTCTTTGAATTATGGTTTTCTCTGGATATATAACCAAGAATGGGATGGTTGTGTCATATAGTAGTTCTATTTTAAGTTTTCTAAGGAACCTCCATACTATTCTCCCTGCTATCAATTTACATTCCCACCAATAGTATAGGAGGCTTCCCTTTTTTGCACACCCTTTCCAGCATTTATTATTTGTAGATTTTTTAATGCTGGCCATTCTGACTTTTGTGAGGTGATGCTCGTTGTTTTGATTTGCATTTCTCTGTAGTTAGTGATGTTGAGCATCTTTTCATTATGCTCTTTGACTTAGCCTAATATTTTGTGGATCATCCACATTGTAGTATGTATCAGTATTTTATTCTTTTTATTGCTGAATAATATTCCTTCATGTAAAAATATACACACATACACACACACATATATATATACCACAATTTATTTTTCCATTTATCCATTGGTAGAGATTTGGTTTATATCTTTTAACTGCTGTGAATAGTGCTGCTATGAACATACATGTGCATACATACATTTATTTGACTACCTGTTTTCAATTCTTTCAGGCATGTATGGTCTTATTAACTTCTACTTATTTTTCTAATTCTAATTCCTATATATTTAAGATTGTTTAGTTGCTAAGTTGTGTCCAAGTCTTTGCCATCCATGGACTGTAGCCCACCAGGCTCCTCTGTCCTTGGGATTCTCCAGGCAAGAATACTGGAGTGGGTTGCCATTTTCTTCTCCAATTTAAGATTACAAAGTGATAAAGCATGTCATTAATTTCTGTAAAGTTTTCTCTCTTCTTGATATCTTAATCATATTTATAATCTACTAGTTTTAATTTATTCTCTAAGGTTTGCTTTTATTTCTGCTCACTGTGTATGTGTGTACATGTATGTATGTGTGAGTCTGTACATGTTGGTGGGGAGAGAGGGAGAGAGAAAGTTGTTTGAACATTTAATATAGCCATTCTGGGACCTAAAGTTTGTTTAAAACCACTGACTCCATTATTCTTGCCTGAAAATCCCATGGGCAGAGGAGCCTGGAAGGCTACAGTCCAAGGGGTCTTAAAGAATCAGACACGTCTGAGCCACTTTCACTTCCACTTCATGGGATGATTTTCAAGTCAAAACTCACTGTCATAATAAAGTTCCCTTTAAACATTAAAAAAAAAAAAAAAAACCACTGGCTCATGTTTTGTATCAATACTAGCAGATTTTATATAAAGTCCCATTTCTAAGTTCAAAAGGTCATGCTTCTTTCAAGGTAAATGCTAATAGCAAAGAGTTATTTGGAAATTTGGGTAAATAAATAAATGCAGCTACTTTCAGTTATATGCAAATAAAATTTTGTTTCTCTTACTAGGGCAGATAAGCGGATGAGGGAGGAATCATTGTATTTTTGAAATTTGTGTGAACAGAAAATATAATCTAAAATAAATTGAATGCACAAAGAAAATAAGCAACTCAGGTGCAAATTATTTATTTGTGAAATGAAACCTCTTGAAAAGGGAGGAATGCTGACAGCAACTTAATATGCAATATACTGCACTTCTATTCTTACCCTTACATTTTCAAAGTCATACATAGTAATTTAGTTGCACTCCCATTAATATTAGTGGGAGTTTTGAAACTTATATTCATGTACACATCTTTGAAAATGTATGGGTCAAAATAAATTGTTAATGAAAAACTGGGTTTCATTTTTAGTGAAATAGTTCCAATCTCTACCAAAGATGTCCTAGAAGGCACCTTCATCTAGTCACAAGAGAAGAATTATGTATAAGGCTACTACTTGGAGGTTGTCTTCTTTAAAGCAACATGGTTAATAATCATATTGAAGAGGAAAAAAGTGTTTTCCCACCCTTAAAGAACACAAAAGTTCAGGACCCATGTTTTTTAATGGTAAGCAAAGGATCTTAGACCCTTTCAATGGACGCTTTCAGCTCAGTGCACGTGATCAGTGATAGAGGCATGCTAAGGTGAATTTTAATTAGGACTAAATTGTGGTATTACTCTTTCATACCCTGAACATCTGTTCCCTTCAGAAATGATGATTTATGCAGGCTATCAGAGCAGACAGCTTGCTACAGCTTATGTCACGGTTAGTGGGAAGCTGGTGGTAGCATTTTAGGAAACCAGCATCTAAATGGAGAGTGGCCGGTGTATTCAATGTAGGTAATAGGGGGAGGGGAAGTGTGATGTGTCCATTTTTAATTTCGAAGCCAAATATTGACTTGACTTAAAAAAAAATCTCTTCTAGACCATCTGTTGTTAATGAAGAAAGTAACTTGGACAATGAATGGGCTGATGCTTCCTACTGATGTCAAAAGACGGAAAACCAAGCCTGTTCTTTCTGTTAGAATGCAGAAACTTATTGAGAAGACCTCAGCCCGAATTCTGCTCTTTAAGAATGGCACGGGGCAGGATGGGCATGAGATTACAGTGGGAAAGGAAACAATGAAAAAGGTAATCTTGTATTAAATATTGAAGTAAAAATTAAATTTCAAAGTTTTTATGACTCTTGAAATGTGGTTTTTCCTTCTGTATATCACTGTCAACTAATAAACTGAAATATTAAGAAGTCATTATATAGAATGCAAAAGTTCAGCTGTTTAGAAGTATGTTTATTGCACTAACAACATAACTTACTTAAATAAAGCAACAGCATTTCAGGAAATAATTTGGCCAACGTACTCAGCCATTTCCTTAGGTAAAAGTTATGTTTACACTTGAGGAAACATCCCAGTTGGTTGTAATACTTTACAGGGTATTTAGATTGAAGTCAATTTAACTAGCTTCAAAGCTCAAAGCTGCTCCTTTTCATTTAGAAGAGTAGTTAAAACCTAGAAACCCCTCTGCTTTTCAGAGTAATCAGTGACATCTGAAATAGCAAGGATTCTGTTTAAAAGTATCCATATGCATTTTAAAAAGTAAATCTGGATAGGACTAAGAAAAATCATGTGACAATTCACCAAACTTTAAGAAACAAATTTTAAAGTGTTGTCATATAAATGCATTTTTTTAAAGAAGGTTCTTGTACTTCCCAGGTCTTTGATATTAAAAATGCAGCGAAACTAATGGGAATTGGGGGTCAGGGAGAGACTTTTCATCCAGATAAGGATTTTTCAGTGAATCTTAAAGTAGCTTGATAATAATAATAAAAGCAATGAAAATGTATTAAATATGGATTAGAGAGACAGTGAAACATAACCAAACTATTTAGGTTTTAATCCTAGCTTTGTCATTCGCTATCTGTAAGACCTTTTTTATAACTTGCTTTGAGTCTCAATTTCTTTATCTGAAAACTAGTGATAGTAATATGCCTATCTGATAAAACTGATGTTAGTGTTCAGTGTGGTAGTATGTGTGGAGTACAATGCCTGGCACCCAGAAAGTTCCCATAAAATTCTTATCTTGCTATTCTCTTTTTCTGTTTTGCATATAGGGTTATCATTACCATCTTTCTAAACTCCATATATGTGCGTTAGTACACTGTATTGGTCTTTATCTCTCTGGCTTACTTCACTCTGTATAATGGCTGTTCTCTTTGTGCTTGTGCTTAGTCGCTTGTTTGTCTCTGACTCTGCGACCCCAACGGGCTGCAGCTCCTGCCAGGCTCCTCTGTCCACGGGATTCTCCAGGCAGGAGTACTGGAGCGGGTTGCCATGCTGTCCTCCAGGGGACCTTCCCAACCTCGGAATCAGACGTGTGTCTCCCGCACTGCAGGCGGGTTCTTTACCGTCTGAGCCATCGGGAAAGTCCAAGAATGCTGCAGTGGGTGGCCTGTCCCTTCTCCAGGGCATCTTCCTGACCCAGGAGCTGGACCGGGGTCTTACTCACTGGAGGCGGATTCTTTACCAGCTGAGCTACCAGGGAAGCCCATTCTTCTCTTTAGGACTCATAAATGCACATCTAATAGAATTTATTTTTCTTATTAATGGGAAACATTTATTGTGAAATGAAGATAGCTATAAATCATTTTGTTATACCAGAATATTTTCAAAATGAATATTGCTTGAAACAGGTGAATAGTTGACTAGATATTGGAAATTTTTATTATTGAAATATCTATTTCTTCATCTACTTATTTTTGTAGTTGTTTTATAACTACATCTGGGTAAGAATATTTACTAAGGAGCTGGGAAACTGGATTTTATTTCCTTCTTATCTGCAGATTTGGATTATAAGTGAAATAAGGTATGTTACACACCAGAGCAAATTGCTAACGCAAGTTGTAACATCTTCCCTGGAGATTTTGAAAAACAGAGAATGCAGACATCTCTTGGATTGTTCAAATGTAGTCATTCCTGGTGATGGAAGCTAGATTAGATAACCTCTTGAGTTCAGTTCAATCTCTGTAATTCTATGCCTCAGTGGTAAAATTGGGGTAATAGTCACTCTTTCAGATTACATGTTCTTAGATGAAAGGTTGAGTGTAAAACAAAAATGTCACTGCTATTTTGCTTTTTGACTTGAGAGGTCAATTTATTTAAAACTGGATGTTCAAAGAATTCTTTCACTTATTTTTTTCTTCAGCTTGTAAAATTTAGAGAACTTTCACAATTTTTATTAAAGTCAGAACATGATTCAGTAATAAATGTATTTGTAAACATTTGTCTCAGTATTTTAAGAATTCAGTAAAAAGAGAGAAGTCAGTTAAATACTGGTGTTGGGTGTTGATAGAGCTTTTTGGAGGGGAAAATAAGGCTAGCTAATTTTTTTTTGAATAAAATTTAAATTTTGAAAGCTTTGTTGATAATCACAGGGCAATGTCCATTATCAATTAAATACCAGATCAACAGTAGGACTAAAAAGGTGGTATAGTCATAGGAAATATGTAAATTATTTTCTCATTTATGATAAAATATTAGGAGGACTAATGGCTATTTTTAGATTATTACTAAGTAATATAAAACTGAAATAAAAGGTAAAGGACTCTAATATGGTGAAGATTACTACAGTGAAATAAGGAGGGAATTATGTAAGATGGGTGATAAGATAAGGTAGTTGGAGCTTAAAAGTCCTCTGATACTCATAATGGAGTCAAGGAGAAATAACTGTATTTCAGTAATAGATACATAATCAAAATAAAGGTTAAAAGTTTAACTAATTAAGAAGTTTCAATGAGGGGAAAAGTGATACCATTCTTCTCTATACTCTAGAATATCAGAAGATGGTCCTTCTCCTTGAAATTGGAATCAGGTGGTTTTAGAATTACTTCGTATGATTTTAGTAATCACACAGCACCCACTACTATGGGCATTGGCTGAACATTATCCATGTGTTGAAAAAGATATTAGGAAAAATTAGTGGGCACAAGTGCAAAGTAAATGGAAAATGAAAACTGCTTTAGATATGTAGTTTTTTGAGGTTAGCATTGTGGTAGATAAGTTTTATTTTCCCTCAGTTACCTCCTGGAATCTTTGTCAGAGAAGTAGTATTAAGCTATGTGAATTATTGTATTATGCAGAACACATGATCACTCATGTCTAACTCTTTACAACCCTGTGGACTATAGCCCACCAAACTCCTCTGTCCATGGGATTGTCCTGGCAAGAATACTGGAGTGGGTTGCCATTTCCCCCTCCAGGGGATCTTCCTGACCCAGGGATTGAATCCATGTCTCCTGCCTCTCCTGCATTTAGCAAGTGGATTCTCTGAGCCACCTGGATAGCATCTCCTTAATGAAACATCTTTATTTTTTTCCTCAGCAGTTAATAATTATATTTTATTTATTTGTTTTTTGCTAGCTTTCTGTGTACTATCACTAATGGCATGAGATTACAGTGGTGGAAATGATGAAAAAGATAATGAAATGAATGAAAGAATGGAAAAAACCCATGTTATCTCACTCCAGTTTGACCTGGTTATTCCCTATAGCCACCCTGGTCCCTTCACCATCAACCTGGAGATTATCTTTTTCTGTCTGCTTTCTTGGATGCCTCTCTCCTAGTCCCGCCTCTATCTTACTTTACTCTATTGTGCACATAATGCTTGTCACTTTCTGAGAAAACCTCCACCAGAATCATCTGGTCTGTATGTTAAAAATTCAGACTTCTGGGCCCCACTCCAGGCCTATTAAGAATCTCTTGAGCTTGGGAATCTGAATTTCAACAAATGTCTCCAGATGTTGCCTAGTCCCACTAAAATTGAAGAACTCTTGTTCTCTGGTGTTGTAAAACCTCAAACTTACAAATTGATGGAAATTTTCACACTCTTTTGTTTGTTCTGTATTTCCATTTCTCATGTGGTATAAGAGAAAGATAAGTTGTGTGACAGAAAACAGTTTATGGGAAATTAGGTCACTAGTTGCTGTGAGAACTAGTACAAGGAGTTCAGAAATCATGAAAAGGAAAATGTCAACAAGTTAGCAAGATGGGAGTAGTATATGTATAGTAAGTCTGACTTAGAAAAAAGTAAATATTCCCTTAATATTTGTATGTAAACATATTTCATTGCAGTGATTTTTCCCTGTTACTACTGAAAGATCACATAAGTAATGAGGGAATTGCTCACATATGACAGTCAGGATATAAATAAATAATAGACTTTATCAAATGCCTTTAAGTCAGAGAAAAATGTAGACTTCTACGATATTTACCATTTGTTAGTTTGAAAAATAGCTCAATAAACAGCAACAACAAAAAATAAGAAGTTTAAGAAAGAACCTTGGGACTTCCCTGTTGATCCAGTGGCTAAGAATCCTCACTCTCAATGCAGAGGGTGTGGGTTCGATCCCTGGTCAGGAACTAGATCCTGCAACTAAGAGTGTAAGTACCACAGCGAAAGATCCTGCATGCTGCAAGTAAGATTTGGTACAGCCAAATACTAAAATAAATATTTTTTAAAAAGATAAGTCCATTTCAAATATAAATTGATGCAAACATTATGGAAAACAGTATGGATGTTTGTTTAAAAACTAGAAATAGAGCTACCATATTATCTAACAATCCCGTTCCTGGGCATATATCCAGAAAAGACAAAAATTCTTAATTTGAAAAGATACATGCACCTCAGCATACCTATCAGCACTACTTACAGTAGCCAAGATATGGAAACTCAAGTGCCTGTCACCAGATTTGGTTTAAGAAGATGTGGTATATTTACACAAGGGAATATTACTCAGCCATGGAAAGAATGAAATATTGCCATTTGCAGTGACATAGATGGACCTAGATAATATCATAATAGGTGAAATCAGAAGAAGATAAGTTTGACTACATATGGTATCACTTATATGTGGAATCTAAAAAATAACACAAATGAATCTGTATATAAGCAGAAACAGGTTCACAGATGTAGAAAAACTGTGACTACCACAGTGGAAAGGGAGATTGGGAGGGATAAATTAGGAGTCGGGGATTAACAGATACAAACAAATACACAAAAAACAGGTAAACAGCAAGGATTTACTATATAGCACAGGAAACTGTACTTAATATCTCATAATAACCTATAATGGAAAA